TCTTGAACAGGATCATTGTGACGATTTCTCGGGGTTGGTGTACAGACCATCATGAAGATGGTCGCCCATATTTCGGCAGGTATCCTCGGCCATATTTCCAGTGCAAAACGTCGTCTTGAGATGTTGGATTCCAAGAACCGCTCCTCCTCCTCCAGCACAGTCAACCTCCGCCGAATTTGCGCGATTTCATCCTTGCAGCTCCGTAGACGATGCTTCTCTTCCTCGAATGATTGGTTCATCGGTCTTCCGAGTCTTTTTGCCAAAGGAAGGCAATCCAAAATCTTGAATCTTCTTCTGTCACGACCCTGGTTAGTATAATTAACGTTGCAAGTAGCTGTAGTACGCACTAGGCTACGAAAAGTCCCCACAATAATATATCCGATAAACGTTGCAAGGTTTGAGTTGAAGTATGACAGACTTCCGAGCTGTGCCACTCGAAGGTCTCGAGGTAAGAGGTCGGAAAGTGGAATATGTCAAAGACCCTGACCGACGCACAAAAGATTATTATGAGAAACGATGACTTGAAGCTGCGAGAAAATGACGAGTAAAAAACCGATGAAAGTCAAAGTAGAATGTAAGTGCTGCTGGTGCTAGTACTTCTGGGTAGTGGTAGTGAATCGCGATGATGATCGACTGACGCACTTCCCGTTCCGAGCAAAAAGTTGCCACGGTTAGGGTTAGGGGTCCTGGCCGACGCCAACAATTCGGCTCAAGCCTAGCTGCAAGCTAGAGCCAAAACTGAAAATGCAAGCGGCTCGCAAGCCAATCAGTGCGGGATGTTTGATTGAACAGCCTGAGACCCACAGTAAATCCACAACAGTCCATAAATTTTAGGAGCCGACTACAAGTTCCAAAACGGCCAAAAGATACTACAGTGATAATAATCACAGCGCCATACGTGTAGAAATGCGAAGTGGGAGTATAGCAATGTTCGATTAAGACGACAAGTAGATGATAGCGACGATGGACGGAATAGCAGTGGCAACGGTGTCGACTTTGCAGGACAAGAAAAAAGGAAGAGCGGAACACAGCAAACGAGGGAGCCCGGGTAGAACGTGTACAATGATTATATTGATAGAGAAGCCCAAATCTACCGACCATAGAACAAACGAGTCGGAGTTATACATGAGGGGTAGGCGTTAAGGATATTACAGAGAGGATGAAGCAGCGAAGAGAGAACCCAAGTTTGATGAAGGTGGTGAAGTGTTGGAAACAGAGATACACCGATGAAACGCAGATCGCCCCGTGAGAAAGAGAAAAGAGGGAAAGAACAACAATAACATCAAAGGAGCACACGCCAAGGAAGCAAGATAAATCGCCTCGTCGCCGACAAACCCCATGAAGTCACTTCGTCTTCCTTTTGAGGTTCAGGGATGTTTTGAGATCAGAAATGTACCCGAACGTGTTGACCCAGGTTATCTCTTCTGCTGAACGACTTGCCGCAACCAGGATGGGGGCATATGTGCGCTGTGAGGAAATCGAAGTGGGAGCGAAGAAAGCAGAGAAGTAAGACATCAGCCACAGAAACTTTCACCCTTTCACCCAGAGGAAATCAAGCGCAAAAGACCACTCACGTTTTTCCCAAGTATGCAAGCTCCTTACGTGACGCTTCAAATGTTCGCCTCTAACAAAGCACTTGCCGCATCCATCCACCGTGCAAACGTATCGCCTCTCTCCAGAAAGTTTCTTGATACCTCCGCTCACGACCTTGAAAGGTTCATTTGGACCAACACCAGTCGGCAGGTGTTCAGGTTGGCCATAAATTGGAGCGTCTTGAGGATATGTCTTCGCAGGACGACCTTTCGGCAATCTACCCTCCGGGAGGCTCCCGAAATCAAAGGGGTGGTACACAGCGGAGTCCAACGGCGTTTCGACTTCTTCTCTCGACACAGGCACCTTCCGTCCCCTACTCTTTTTCGTCAAATTGGGCACCGGTACAGGCTGCGAACGCCTCCCTCTTTGTTGACGAAGGAGCATGGACGACTCTTGGCTATCAACTGATGCAGCGAATTCTGAGTAATCAAAGGCATCAGGGTCGATGATCTCATGCTCTCCAGCAGTTCGCATCTCGAGTTCCTTCAATGCCTCTGCATTTCCACCACTACCCTTCCTTCCCTTACCGCGCTTACGATGAGCATCTTCCTCATCTGATGGCACATAAATATCGCTATCCGACTCATCTTCGTAACATCCTTGATACTCGTCATCAGAGTCAACGAGCGCTGTAGGGGGATAAGCAACGGCCTGCGAGGGCGTCACTAGAACCTGCTCTGACTTGCGAGGCCTTCCTCGCTTCTTTGCAACCGCAACAGGGGAGTTTTGACGTGCCCTCTTCCTATCAGCCATATCGTCCGTGAAGTCCTCGCTCATTCTACCACGTTTTCCGATGGCTGGTTCCAGCTCAGAGTCAATAGTTCTAAACGGAGAGTGGTACCCAAACTCGCTTTCGACATCAGCCTCGAGTAAAATAGATGGATTGAGAGGTGAAGAGTATGTCTGCGACCGATGCTCATCGAAATCGGAAAAAGAATGACCGAGCGTCAAGGCGTAGATATCATGGGCGTGATCGTCAAAGGTGGACGGGTGTGAATAAACGTCTGACATGTTAACGGTCGTACCAGCGTCTTGTGGAGCAAGTTGAAGGGGAGAGGGCATCCTGTCCGGAAGTAAAGGATACGGTGCGTGTGACGGAGAAGAGGTGGCGGACAACACCAAGGGAGGAGACGAAATCGAAGAGTATATGGAGAGCGGTGAATGAGACCCCGGCTAGAACGAGAAGCTCAGATTGAAACCCTGAAATGACAAAAGGGGCCAAACGTACCTGAGCGGGCAACGAAGGACTGAACGACGGTACGGATAGTCCTGGCAAAGAAGCGTTGTGGCGTTCAGATGTTGATACCGAATAAACGGAATGCCCGCTGGAGTCGCTTCCATCAGAATTAGGCGATGTCATGCTCGAAGGTCCGGAATCTTCTGTACCAAGATGAGCGTCACTTGAAAGAAACATGTTGCCAGTCGTCGAGGCCGGGCTAGGAGTCGTTCCAGCATTAGAGAAGGAGTCGGTAGAAATGTGATAGTAAGGACTGTCAGCTGAACCAAATCTGTTCGAGAACGAAGAAGCCCAAACATCTTGAGGTTGAACGTACTCGCCCGAGTCATGGATAAGAATACCGCGACTGATCGGTGCCACAGAGAGGTAGCGAGGTTCCCCTGGGAGATAACTGGAGTCTACTTGAGACCGATGGTGATCATCTTCGCCGCTGAGAACATCTTCGGGAAAGTCGATGAACTTGGTCATACTCCAAGAGCGGTTCGACGTGAGCGATATCGTGGGTGGTGGTAGACCGTCGAGTAGATCCAAATCCATCGTGGGCGGTTGCAAGGGCAGTTTTCGAGAACTAGAAGACGCGACGAGCGATGACTAGCAAGTTTCGACACGTTGAGAGACGATGAACAACGAATATGGTTGAGCGATATTGAAAATAGTATGTGAGTGGTGATGGTATGTCAGAAAGAAGGAATGCGGGCCCAACTCCCCTCACGCTCTTATGGGGCCTTTCTTCCGGTATCACCAGCTTGTGGCTGTGAACATAAATCTAAGACAATGACACATCCAGACATAATCAGACAATAATTATCCCGCTATCATTATTATTTGGTGCCGTGGAGGGACTGGGTCATAGCTGGATTTCTTATAATCCATTGGAAACTTTTTTGCGTATTTTTTTCTCCTTGAATATTGAGTAAAAAGCAAGAGAAAGCCAGCAGAACAAAAACGAAAGCGGAGGATCAAAGCGAGGCGTTGAGCAGGAGTGCGTCCCCCAGCCCAGGTTACATAATCTAATTGGGTCTGTTTGTATAGACTCCCAAAAAGGAAGGAGGTTTTACAGTCGGTTCGGTGCCACCAGCTCGCCCTCCTGGTTTCAGACATAATTCTGAGATACAGTTATCTCGATTTTCCTCATCAACCTTGGAGGGCCTAGAGCTACTAAAATTTTGGTGCCTGCTCATTGCCTCACTCGATCCGATTGCAAAAGATTCATCCGTGGCCAGAATGGTATGTTACCAATTTCCGTTATTTATCCCGCCTCGACTAGATTTATCGTAGTTTGGCGACGTTAACTAAACCAAGGGTACGCTAGGACACCTTGCCTCCCAATAGTGTATAATCTGCCTTTTGGACCGTTACGGTGGGTTAGATTTTATTATTTCATTCAACAACTCTGGAAAAGAAAAAGAAAAAGTTTATAATCGAGCTGAGGATGATCAAGAATTCTTTGCCAAACCCGGTGTACAGTGCTGTAGATCCCGATATCTGCTAATTAATAGCTCACACTGGTGACGATCGCGTCGTGATCGGATTTTAATTGGCAGCTGCGGTTATATTCTCCGAGACTCAAAAAAAAGACATGATGGAGCTCGGCATTTACATCTTCAGGCCTTGTATTGCGTTCTCGAAAGGGTGATATTTGCGCCAGACATTCATTTTTCAATGGCTCAGACGAGGTCGATTAAACAAAAAAGATCATTTGGAGCTCATGATGATAGCCCAAGTAGTCTTAGGAGGAGCACTCCTAATTCATGCGGTTACCGGGTACCCTTCCACGAAGTAAGGAGCTACCAGAAAAACGATATAAAATCGCTTCAAAGGTAACGAACTTGGCTGTCTTTAGCCCAACCGGGTCGGGAACAAGGTCAATGTGAATGTATTAGATTTTAGACCCTTACTTCGAGGCCCCAATGGTTTCAGAGGACATTGTACGCAGTGACACATCGCCTTCCGACGCGGAGAGTCCCTGATCTGGCAAGGCCAAGCCATTGAAGAAAACATGGCATTGGTACATATTCTCACGGAATAACTAAACAGGAAATTCTTTCGACCAGGGGATTTCCTGTCGCGACCAACGACAACCCGATAACATATCTGAATATTGGGCACCTCAAATGGGAGGTCAGTGGGGGTTTACTCAGTAAAAATTTTTGAATTCGCAATAGGTCCATGCATCAGCGGGGAGTCGAACCCCGTTCGCGACCTAAACAAATATATTACAACGCCATGGGAAGGTCGCATCATAACCGTTAGACCACTGATGCACCCCCCCGGAGAGGTTCTACTATATTATCTAAGAGAAAATTGAACCCAGAAACGGTCAAGTACGGGCATCCCAGCTCAACGGTACGTTCTTAATTCTGCAAAGATTAAACCCGGTTCAACTGAGGCCCAGTGTCGTTACATCAACGAAGCCGGCCCTTGACACGCAAAAACCCGAAAAGTCAACGCGATCCGTCATCTGAAGTGGGAATGCGCAATATTCAAATTCAATAAACCTCACGGAAAAGTAACCCAATGGAATTTGGAAACCAGATCTGTCTCTAGTTTGGGATCTCTGAGAACATCCGCAAGTCCATTCCGAATCATCAATATTTGTCGGTGATAGCACACGGAGGTACACGGCTACATGATTTCCACTTCGGAAGACATGGTGGGTCCAGCTTTGACCGATAACTATGAATTCTTGATCTGCTGATTAATGGAGGTTTGAAAGCAGGCATTTTTTTTTTTTCAAAAACTGACAGATGGATGGACACCGGATTTCGCAAGTGCTAGTCGACTAGTACGTACGTGCAGAGCCTATCCCCGTCTCAACTGCGGGGCGGTGTGATTTCAGGCAACTAGAATTCAAGGGTCAAACAGTGAGTCATCGGTCTTTTCTCCTCCAACACGCGTTTTTTTTTTTTGCGTGATTGGGGATGTTACAGATAGAGGGAAGATTAGGTTCGGAGTTTTCGATAATGCGGTGAGACGAGCAGGCGCTGGTGACTTGATTGTTTACCGATATCGGGCTCGGTCAATTGATATCATATTCGGTGATCAGTGATCCTAAACTTTTACGCTTTTTCGGATTTACATATTCACTAGCCCGAGGAGGCTCCTCCGCATCAACACTCGTATTGGGAGTCTGTAGCACACCGCGTTTGGAACCTTCGAGCATGTATCCGTCACTGTAAGGGATATCTTTTTCAATGCATCAATGGATCTGTAGTAACCTCGAGTAGAGAAGTTTCATACCCTTCGGGTGAAATCCACGATTTGATGCAGACTGAGAAAGATTGGTATCATTAAGTATGGGGGGTAAGAGTAGCCGTAGCCAGTCGGGTAAATTGCAGTGTATGAGCACCCCAAAAAAAAAATTTTTTTTTTGCACGGTTACACGCGGACCTCACGGTTCCTGTCTGTCTCGGGAGGTAGGATGGAGTATTTCCGTGCTCGCAAGTGTGGACAAAACTATCGGGTCGTAGGACTGAGATCTACGGTGGTCTCAAGGTCGGCACCTGAGGACGGGAGACCCATATATATCAAGGTTTGTGGTAAGGTCGAGGCAAGCAGCCTTGACCTTCCGAGATGTCCACAGTAGGGATACTGTTCCACGAGGGATTCGGCGATGAAGACGATGAAACGATTCTCCAAATCGGGGCCTGTGAGAACTGACTTTGGGTGGATGACAGCAGCTTGTAGGGGCATGTCCTATCACTTCCACGTTTGATACGTGTTCGGTCGTATAACCGGTCTTTTGAAAACTACGATGTCTCCAAAGGAATCGACAGAATCTGGCCACACGGTCCCGTCGGTTGTGGAGTATGGCGTCGGACTTAACTAACCGTAGTGTTCGTACTTTGTGGGAGGGAGTATACAGCATTGTTGAAGCTGAGTTTCATGATAACGATGGGATTGCACTAGAGACAGGAGTGTCAGAGGCTGTGTAAAGGTCGAGACGAGGAGAGGTTGAGTCCGTGTGTTTATAAATCAGAGAACTCGTTTCCCGATAGGACGTAGAGCGTAGAGTAGGGGTCTTCCAGAATGATGGGAGAAGGAAAGCATTACGCTTGACGATCAGTAGGCTCTCCTGGATGTCATATCATTTGGAGCTTAAGAAAGGCGTAACGAAGACATCCAGTCTCGGTTGCAATTCTTGGGAGCTCCTTCAAAGCCTTTCTGGCCACATATCCCGCGAATGTATGGATAATTTTGATAAACAACAAGGGGAAGGCTCGGTGCTTTTTCTCTGAATGACGGTCACAGCATCTTCTAAAATATGTTTTGATCCTGAACGACGGGACCTGTGCCAAAAAGTTATGACTTGTTTTGATGGATAAAGAAGAGAAAATTCGTCGTACGACAACAGAAGCAAAACGCTCGACCGGTCATGGTCTAATCAGGTTATTTCGGTGACGGATAGCGGGTGGCTATATTGGCTGTATTTGCTGTAGACCAGAACTGATGAATCATTAAGTGCGTCAACATCATGACAGAGTGGGGTAACATGAGCCTGTTCCTCAGAGCCACAATCAGGCAAGAATAACTGGTGGTAGGGATCCCGGATCACCCAATGCGAGATGGGAAATAAGAGGTGTTTAATGATGTTTCGGCGTTGAACTGACCGAGTCTCGATAGATTGGATCCAGAACGGAGGATAACCCATTTCGGCTCTCAAAGCCTCAGGCAGTGATTCGAAGGAGGCGTGACATGTGACAGCTGGTCACATGCGTACAGACATGGGAAATTTACTCCATATATAGTAATCATTGTGCGGCCTTTCATTTTCACATGCTGCGAGCAGGGGTCAGCCGAACTCTCCTCACTACCCCCATGATCGCCAACGACGACCAGCGACCAATCCACTCAGCAAGCAGCAGTGTCAGCCTCAGCTCTACCCTTCTCGATGATCAGGATGAAGACGTTCAGATTGCAGTTCGCGCTCTCGGTGACATGCGGAATGGGGGTGTGTCGAAAACCTGTGTGTTCATCAGTTCTATCTATATCAGAATTCCGACCTAACGATATGTTTTTTTCCCGCTTTTCTCTCGGGTCACTCCCTCAATCTTAGTAACTCTGGATTCTCCTTTTACCCGTTCAGAAGCCTCAATGTCGAGCCTAATGCCCCCCTCACCACTCTCACCTGCAGACGATGGCCCTTCGTCAGTGGAGACAGCTTCAGAGCACGATTTTGCTTCAAGAGTTGCTCATATACCTCTCGTTCATGGGGCTTTACGAATGTATGAGCAAGGAAAAGCTAGTTCCAGGGTCGTCAAGGTGCGTTGCTTATCGTAGTACTTTCATGTGATTTAACTCAATTTTTTTCTCGCTATTTAGTATGGCGCCGAAATCATGGAATCGAGCGTGAAAACTATATCGAGGCCTGTAATCGACAGGCTACCCTCAAATACCGTCGATGGTATTTTGGATAGAGTGAGTCTGAGTCAAAAGTACTCCTGTTTTAGACGTTTCGTATGCGGTTCTAGGATCTCAGCTCAAGGCTAGGTAGAATCGTTTATCCGTTTAGCTGTGTTATGGCATTCCGCACTTCAAAGTCTCGTTCGACTCGCTCTCTCTCCCCGTCCTTGACCTCGTTCCCGCCTTTTTGATGTATCAACGCATCTTGATATCGTCTCACTTTTTCAATCCATGTGCCCTGTTCCTTGTTCGTCTCACGTAGCAGACCCTCCAGTTTCCCAATTCTCTTTTCAAGTACTTTCTTTTCGTTCACTTGGGGGCGTCGGCGTATTCTGGTAGGATTTCTGGCTAGATTGCGATCGCAGGACTTGTATCCGCTGTCTCCGATAACACGGATCCCTCACCAACACAGCAATGATCCAAGCTCTTGATATCAGTAATATATTTGGGTCTAGCTTTCGATCTTGTTGGGATTTTTATTGATCTTCAACAACCTGTGTCATCCACACTTTTGTCGGAATCTTTCTTCAGACAGACTTCCCAATCCCACCTTTCTCCCCCTTCTTAATTACGATACAGCAGTTGACGGAGAGGCCGTCCGTGACTGTTAGTCATCACCGGGAACAACTATATTGTTTCTGGAACCATCTTTCCTATTCATTGCTTTATTCTACTTCTCATAACTGATGCAGATGGAGCATCGCCGACTTTCAAGGGGGCGCTACAATGTTTATAACTTGACCCGTTATTTGTCCGGCCTCTCGTGTTGAGCACCCTTCTTCACTCAGGACTGTGTCCTTCCATTCAGTGCTTTTTCCATTTTCTTACTTTCGCCTGGGCTCCTTTCGCGCCTCCCCTCTCCAGTTCATCTTCACTTCACATTCTATCCTCTCGCTGCAAAATTCAGTAACTAACCAGCGTCTTTTACATATTCTTTTCATTGGCGTCACTTCAACATGTGTGCTTTGCGTCCTTCACTTCCCCCAATTTCCGCTATCTTTGCCCAGTTGGGTGGCAGAGTATGCTCACCGGCTTCTCCGCGTTCTATAGAGGCCCAATGGCGGCATTTTGAAGCAGCGGAGCATCGTGATAGAGATGCAACTTCCAGTCGTTACGAAGAACACCTACCACCACGCTCTTCTTCCGACAGTGGAGCAGTGGGAAACTGGCTGTCCAGTAAGTCCTGTTGCTCATTGCCTTTTGCGTTATTTTGGGCGGAACTATTGGAACTCTTGCTTGTCAAAAGCCTTCCTTCCTTGAGAAAGAAGGAACAGTGATTTAAACACATGCGACTGACGTCCTTGTCATGTGCCCTCGTAACCCATTTTTACTTTCGGTTGGGGTTGCCTTCGTATCTCCTTCTCCAAACTTTGGGGATCAAACGCTTTAGCCATATGTTCTTCGCCTGCCTGCCCTCGTTTCGGCGAATTACGCTAATCTCATGATCATAGATACTTCTTATAACTATCGATCACCAGATAGTCCACGGAGAGGACGTTCGAGTTCTCAATCGGATGCATCGTCTTTCGAAGGTCCCAGCACGTCGTCGCGCTCTCTCACATCTACGATGACAATGTCTGATCTCCAAGACGGAGATTACGAGGACGCCGCGAGGGCGGTGATTTCGTCCTCAGTTTCCGGCGCTTCCTCTGCGTCCGTGGTGAAGCGGAGACGTTCCCGCTCCACAGATCGAGATGAGAGAAGTCCCCATTCGCCAACACAGGAGAGAGAAAGACAACTTACAACGACATCGAGGTTGCAAGTTTTCCTTACATCGGCGAGCGGGCTAGGTGTCGCTTTGAGTGCGGAGAGCATGAAAAGATTGAGGTATTGCTTAACATGGTTACACGTACGTCTCTTG